TTAGATATTCCCTCATTTATAGCTGTATGAGAACACACAGGGCACATCTGTTTCTCTTTACATCACTTTTATACTACAGATCATTTGATTAAGTGAGATTTTGTGTTCATGAATGATAAGAGGAAGATATTAATGGTTTCTTTGGTACATTGAACTACTTGTTGTGTGTTTTTCATGGTGCACATGCTAGGGGGCTGCTGAATCTGGCAAACTGGCAGAGGGGAAGCTGCCAGGTCTCCACACAACCAGTAGCAGGGCTGAGCACATGTTCCCAGTAGGCACACATAGAGCAAAAATACACATTACATGTATGTACACAGACACAGAGAGAGTACAGACAAAATTGTGGCTGTGCTCCACACATGAGGCTCTGCTCAGCCCAGTGTGCCAGGGATGGGTGGCAGAGCAGTGTTTGAGAGGCAGGAACTGCACCAAAGGGGGCTGAGGAGTTTTAAGGATTGGAGGGTGAGCTGTCATGGGTCTCCAAGACTGATAGCCCATCATCATCTATGTTGTCATTCATGTTCTTTAAATAATCAGCTGCTGGCCTTTTAGCTTCCATGTATCCAGTCATCACTCTGACAGGAATTACAGTATATGATAAGTTGCATGCACCACATTAAGCAGGCTGATAAATTAATGAAAAAATTATTTGGGAGACCGCTGAGTGAACAAGGCTCTGATTTGCCTATACCTGCCCTCTAACTATCCTTTGCTTTTATATGATCCAACAACTGAAAATGTGGTGTAGATAACTATTTTAAGAAATCAAACTTCAGGTTTTTAATCATGATTACTAATGGCAAGAAGTTATTCTATCATTCAACATTTGTTGAAGCAGAAGTCATTTGTTTTTTAACAACAGTTTTCTGTAACAATAGCTACTTCTGCACGTGCTGAAGCTCTGCCCACATAAGAAGTATTATCTTTTCTTTCAGTTCTGGTGTATGAGAAAAGGAAATGTGTTTTCCATCATTGCCAAATGAAATACTTGCAGTCATGGCTCCAGTGATAAGGCAACAGCAAGTGACTTTTTAAGTGACTAAAGACAAAGCAGAAGTGCTTTGATTAAATCCAGCTTTGATTAAGCACTTGAATAGTCACTATGATCAATTTATGAATAATCCAAGGATCAAAGAGAATCATGAATATGCTTGGTCTAACCCTTCCAAGTAACAAATATATCAGTATAAAGCAGGATCAGGAACAATTTGTGAACAGAGAAGTGTTTAATTTGTCAGTTATCTGGTCATAGTGAGTAATGTGATCAGCTCTGATAGAAGAGACAGAGCATTTTCAAAATAGAAAAATCATCTTTTATTTTTTCTTCCTGACAGGATCCAAGAGAAATCTGAGAGAGCTGCACTATGTAGCAGAGTTGAAACAACCCCATGAAGAATATATCATTACTGCTGCAACACTGGCAGCCTAAGAAATTACTGAGCAGAGGTCAGAAGGATTCAGCTCCAGGGCAGAGCTGCCAGGGAAGTCTTCCTGAGCAGACCCATGATGGCTCTGACATCTGAGTCTGCCTCTGAGCCTGTGGGAGCATAACTTGAGGCATTTGAAGCTTTCCTTGGATTCACCTGGGCTTCATTTAGCCTTCCTCAGTGTAGTTTTTCTTCCCCATGCTCTTCCTCCAGTACTAGCTGTATTTCAGGAGTAATGACTAATCATGAAACTGATATATAAGGACTGAATTTCCTTCCATAAAACCCCCAGATATATCCACTGCCGTGTTACAGTACAGGACACCCAATGCAGAAAGTCATGGACAGAGCAGAGACAAAGGAAGGTGGACAAAAGCAGAATTGAGGCATTTCTAACTTCAGAGTTAATTTTGAAATGGCTCAGTGCATCTGAACTTCCCACAAACAACACTGTCAATTTTTTTTCTATTTTTTTGTAAAATACTCCATTCTTACTCTAAACGGAAACATAAAATAAACTCAAGAATGAAAAATGCAGCAGCAACAACAATCACCAGATCACCCCCAAAAAAGAACAAAACAATCTCAGCTCAAATCCTCTCTGAAGCAACTTTTACCGCAGAAAGGGAGAAGAGCTATAGAAATCACGAAGGCCATTAGGACATAGTTTCTGGCATATGCAAGCATGCAAATAACAGCTCATGAGGTCTGAAATTGCCAGCAGGTATCTCTGGATGATATCAGACACGACTGAATGCATAATACTTCCGGATGAAAGCATATAACCACAGAAGAAATATGTTCCAAGATAGATCCTTGGCAGGACTTTGAAATTACTTACCACTGGAAATGTTGTAAGCATTTAGTTGCTGAAACAAAAGCCTCAGCTCAGATGTCTAAAATGCTTTTGGGAAGTGCAACCCTATGAGGTTAGGAAGCAAAAGTAAATCACTGGTCAGCAGATATAAACAGGTAGCTTTGGGCTGTGCCAGGACAATTTTACTGCTCTATTGCAAACCTGGGATGAGCTCTTGTTTTATTGTAGCTTTTGCCTTTTCAAGCTCTAGGTTCAAAGTTTGTAGTCATAGTTTTGTCAGAGCCAAAAAGCCTTCTGGATGAAATACATAGGCATAGTTCCGGCTTCCAGACATTTTGAAATTCAGTTTCTGGTTTATTGCTGTAAAATTTTTGTGTCTCTGAACAGTTACTTAGTCACACCTTCTAACCAAGGCTAATTGTACCCTGACAAAGCGCTTCATTAAGGGGGAGGATAAATTTATCCTTAGCCTCCTGTTCATCTCCACAGATACAGCCAACCTGCTTGTCACTCGGCTCTTTACAAACTTCCACTGAGGTTTTGGCTACTACTGCACTTCCTCTCCCAGTGAAATCTGCACTGCACTTGGGCCATGTATGTACAGTTGCATTTTGCTCACTGGTAGTCCTTTCTTCTCAATGAAAATGTATGACACTGCTGAGCATGAAGCACTACTGACTTTTTACTACTTTTTAGCCATCCTTGTTAAAAGTAGAATGCAGGAGCTAGTAGAATGCATGTATTTATTCCTTCAAGGCTTAAAAAAAAAGTAGGATTGCTTTGATTCATGGATATGTTGAAAACTCTGAGGAGTGTGAGATGGTGTGTTTAAGAGCCTGCATATGTTTCTTGATGTGGAATCCCAGCCCCTACAGGATACAACCTGGCCTGCACAAGAGAGGAAATCAATGATTTACCACGGGTATATGGTGCAGTGTGGGATTGTAGTGCTTGTTGGCTTTACATCACTAACAGAATTATAGCCTTTGCTCACAATTCAAAACCTGGGAGTAGTTACAGCTTGTTTTTCTGTCAGAAAACTAGAAGGAAAAAGCAAACAGAAAATACCTCCCAGGCTGCAGTAGCTGGTGCATTTTTTCCAGATACATTTTTTGGTATGCTGAGACCTCAGAAGTCACTCACAATTAAAAAGCTTGATCTGTGTGTGAGATTTCATCTGCCTCCCTTTGCTTCCTCTGGGACCTACCATACCATTCAATTTTAAAACTATGCCTTTTTCTTCCCTTCCTAATTAACCCCCTGCATGAACACCAAGTGGAGCCTGAGGAACATGAGAACACAGCTATTTTTGTGTTCATAAAGACGTAGGAAAGGCAGAATTAAAACATGCTGACATATGCACATCACAGCAACTGCTTTCTCTGCATGATCCCAAGGTTTCTGATAGCAATTTTTGACCTTCAAAGATTTAGGCATTTTCATCAGATTAAAAATTTTCCTCACCCATTGAAGAATTTGCAGTAGGAAAGGTTTATTGGAGTGCCAGCATACTTTTTATGAGTTTGCCCTATGGTATGTTGCTTATGTGCTGTGTCAGGCCAGCTCTCATCAGTTATCCATGTTTACCACTTTCACCTTCTATCTCTGTTTGAAGACAGAAATCTTGTAAATACATCTGCTTTGTTCAATTAAAAAGTCAGTATGAAGTAAAAAGTCTGTATGAAAAGACATTGAAAACATACCTTAAAATACAGTGAAGATATAGTAACTTTTAACAGGAGTCATAACAACCCTCAGAAAGCTCTGAACAGGATGACCTGGGATGTATTTCAGCCTTCGTGCCTGTTGCTCTTGCAGCTCTTTGGGGACACTGTACCACCCACAGTTTCCAATTTGAAAGGTCATTTCTGCACTTACTACAAACTTGTATCAAACAATAAATAGCAATCGCCTTCTTTAGAGCAAAACTCAAAAGAGCCTTGATTTACCAACAGAATCTCCTTCCTTTTAAAATTTACAGCAAATTTCACTGGATTTTTGGCTCTTCCCTTCTGCTTATATAACCAGTATGATAACATGATTGCAGATGGTTTTTGACATCTGCTGATCAAGCCTCATTTTGCTTCTCTGCCTCTGTTTTGCAATATTTTGGTCAGTGTAACCAACCAACTAAATTGTGAAACAGAAGGGAGGGCTATGCAGGAAAAGAAAAGAGCCCCAGAAACTTTGGTTTAGCAGTGCTCACAGCCTTGTACCACAAGCCTTAATACCAAATATAAATGCATGCCATGAGATTAAATTACATTATCATTTGCTGAGGTATTTTTTGAGATATTTCCTTAGTGATCCTATTTTACCTACATTCAGAGGATGCAGATGTCTGTAACTAGATAAATATCCAATTCATTTTTCTTTCTAATTAATCTGCATAAATAAGCTGGAGTCAAAGCAGTCTCTAGTTGCTCCTAACTGCGCAATCCTGCCACACTGGTCTTACCTTCAGTTCTAGGACTCACTATGCTGCAGCAGTGTGAGAAGAGATGGATGAATTTTTGAAAAATGGAGATTGGAAATTAGGGATTTCAAATTTTAATAAATCCCATCTGAATATAAATATAAGCTTACAGAAAACACGTATTTCTGCAGCAAACAAACAAACAAAAATAAAAAAGGAGAAAAAAAAAAAAGGAGGGTCAGAAATGCATTTCATTTGGAAAGAAAATGGAAACTATTGATCCGCTAATAATATTTTTGCCTTAGGAATGCTATGAGCACAGAGTGCAATTACATACCTAGTATTTCAGTTCAGTACCGTCTTCTTCACTAATATGAAACATCTAAATGAAATGAAAGAGCAACAGTAACAAATACAAGATTTGTATTTCACAACGTCTGACTGCTATATTTATATCGACACATCAACCCTGAGTAAGTCAAAGCTTGACTTAGTGAGTGGCATTTTAAATGAAGGATGGTAGCAAAATATACCCAGTGTGCAGTGCATACCCTTAGCAGCATGAGTTCTATATTTCATACCTAGAATGCTCTGTCTACTTTACTGAAATGGACTGATGTTCCTTGTTAATGTGGGAATTAGCAATATGTAACACATTTGTTTTAATTCATAAAATAGAAAACAAAATATGTAAGCTAGTTTTGTAAATTGCAAAAAAAATAAAAAATAAAAAAAAACAACAACTCAAAAAGACACCATGAGAAAATCCTAATTGCCCAACAGATTACTTGTAAAATGGAGACATCTGTAAAATGCAGTACCTTCTGTGGTCAGAGAGGTTTGAAATGACGCAGTTAGAATGATATCAGCAAGAAGGAAAGTGAGATAAATCAATTAGGCCAGTTTAGATACATCTGAATCTAACAGAAATGTAGTTGATTCATTAGTATCTTGCACTTTTTCCTTACATAGTTCTCTACCCTTCATATGAGGCAACCACTGAGACTCAGCATTTTCATGTGCTGAGCTTCATATCATCCAATGATACACCTCATGTCAGAAAAATAACATCAGAAAAATAACATTGCCTTTATGTAGGACAACCCTCCAGGCTCAAACACACGATCAACTTAATTTGGTTTACAGAGCTATGCTGTGTCAGCTCAGCTCTGGTCACTGACTGCATCTTAACTCTTCCAACAAGCTCAGGGTGGGATGTACAAGCTCCAACCACATTGTGGGGAAGAGAGATGCCCTGTGTTCAATGGACAAGGAAACTTCCTCATGTTCTAAATGCACACTTGAAAGACTGTATGTAGTAAAATTTCATAACTTGTATCCACAGGAATATTTCCAACATTCCTGGAAATGCCAGGTGCCTGCCAAACTCGTTCAAGTCCCATCAAAGTGCTGGGTAATGAAGGATCAGTCTGCCTGCCCTGTCTCATCAGGTGTCTAAGATGACTGCTGGGCTCCATCAGACATTGATGGCAGCCTGCTGTATGTCAGCTCTCTGCTCATTGGAGCACCCATCAGGACACAGGGAACTTCAGTCCTTGGACAGCCACAATGTGGGGACAGACACAGTGGGTTTATGAAATTCTTGTTGCATCTTGAATGTTTAGAAGTAGTAGATCCATACAGGTGAAATAGAAAAGAATTTCTTTCTGGGTTAGGCCTAGAGGACAATTAACGCTCTAGTCCCTTCTGCTGAGATTCTTTCTACTTTCAGTTTGGAGGGAGTCTAAGCTTTAATAATAAGCATACTCTATTATATTTTATTCTATTCCTTATACATTTGGTATAGCTCCTGCAATCACAGGCAGTTCCTCTTTTCTCAGCTTCTCCCTGTGCAAGAACTTTTCCCTGTATTGTGTTTTGTTTCAAAGCACTTTTCCTTCAAATATGCCTTTATCTAAGTTCACTTATCTAAGAGTGGAGCCCTCATAAAAGTTCACGTCCCTCTTAAGTAGTTACAGGATAAAATGTACCAGACAGTTACAACTATAAAAATGCTGTCACTCAAAAAATTAGCACGTTTGATATGCACTACTATCTACCAGACAGACAAGTGCTAACCACTGCCACTCTCTAAAGGATGGCCAAATGAATAACAAGGAGATGCCCTTGCACAGGCATTCAGGTTGGTTCATTCCAGTTGCCCACAGGAGTATCAGGGGCAACCCAGGAATTATAGCAATGTTGGCACTCCAGCTCTGCTTCCATCTGATCCCAGGAGGTTACTATTTTTTGAAAATATTTTTTTTTAATATTTTTTTTAAGTGGTGCTGAACAACAGCCTCAGTGGCTCAGTTAATGAAATGAAACAGATCTTCTTATATACTTATGCATGAAAAGTTTGCTCTAGTCTTCTATTTACAGTACTTTGCTAGGTAATTTCTAATTCAGTGCCTACAGCTTGCAGATATCTCATTACATCAGTAATAATTGTTACTAAATCCCTATTATTTTTATTCTGTTTTGACTGGTGATGATTGAATCACATTCCTTTAGATTAGTTAATGATGAATTAAATTAAATGCTGAAATTAAGCTGTATAATAATAAGTTACTAGAGAGACTTTCAGAACTATGTGGGTCTGGCTTCAGGGATGAGTTACATGGTAGAAAAGGGAGCTGTAAAGGACAGCTGCCATACTGAGGAAGATCAGTAGGGCTGGTAAAAGGCAGTGAAAGCAAGTTTCAGAGTGAATCATTCAGGCTGTGAAATAAGCAGTAGACACTGGGACAGAAACCAGGAGCTCTCCATGCCAAAGCACATATAAAGACACTATCTAGGTTTCAGCCCAAGGACAAGTTTTAACTGGTACCAGCTGCAGAGGGACAGGTGAGGGGCTGTTAAAAGACTTGCTGTCTTTGATGGCAGAGGGGATGTCTGCAGGCTGCATCTCTTCATATAAGATGGGGGAGCTGTACTGAGTAAGTGGTCACTGGATGGATAAAGACACAGTAGGCTGTACAGCAGCTACACTTTCAGAACCTCCTCAGACTTTTAATATGCACCACAAGCCACCTGGTCAAATGAATGTTCCACCATATTAAAGTTTCTAGCATATTCATGTTAGGATGTTCTTGAGTCTTTTTATACAGGAGGCACAATTCATTAAAAAAACACGCAGCAGATTGAAAAAAAAATAGGATAAAACCTATGATTCTGTTTTTAAAGACATCAGAAACGTGCTGAGCACTGCTGTCCTATGGAGAAAGTGTATACAACTATGTCTGCATAACAGAAGATGTAGTTACTGAGTATATGAAGCCTGCAGCCCCACAGAGTAGCAAAACTGAAGTTTAAAAGGATAAGTAGTTCTTGTGCAAAGAAAATTTTGGAAGTCACCTATCTTCTTCTCCTTGATCTTATTATTTTTAGCTAACCTTGATTGTCATTAGTCACATAAGAAATTAATCTATAAAAATTGCTAAATCTGCATTTGATATGGATTGTATCTATAAAAGGCTCAAGAAGAGATACATTTTCTTCCCTCATGCTGTATCTGTCTCTCCACCAATTTGGAGATTGCTCTAATGTGGTTTGGGTATAGATTTGAAATGGAAGACAAGTGGAAGGTGTTTGTGTTTTATTTCAAGGAATATGGCACCTTTGTATTTGTTTTTACATGTCCAGAGAGGCAATAAATAAGATAGATTATCTCATCTGTATTTTTCTGTCCATTGCTCCAGGCTAAGTGCTGCTATCAGATCTTCATGCCACAGTCTCTTCCCCTGGCTGTCCTAGCTAATCCAGGAAACAGTGGCTGATTTAGTACCCAGACTGTCAAGTGCAGAGCAAACCACAGGTGAATGTTTTAACCTGTGGTTCTCCTTGCAGTATACTGCCAGCTACCAAGCAGTTCCATTCCTCCCCCTGTCACAGCTGCCACTGCTGGAAAACAAACTGAGATTCCAGTGCTGGCTCTCCCATCTGTATGGAAAACTGACCTGCTGGGGGGGTGGGAATCATCTTGCATGACACACAGCCCTGTAGGAGGTGGCTTTGAAGTAATATTTTTGATGGTTAATCCTTTTTATCAGTCTTTGTTTATAAGTTGAAATAGTAATCAAAGAAATAAAGTAGCAAAACTAAAAGACTAAGGTTGTTATTCAGGCTTTTTCAAGAACTCATATGTTAGTTTAAATGTTTTAAATAGTTTGAACAGGTAGACCTTGATATGCATAAACAAAACTCCTTTAGTATCTGAATTGCTTTGTTGCCATCAAGTGGTTTAAGGAGGCATTTCACAGCATCGTGGTTTGATAAATCAAAAGTATTGAAGCTACACCAAGTCAACCAAAATTAAGAAACATTGATTCAAAATGCAAACAAACTTGTCTGGTAGCTTTTCTTTGGAATGACACTGAGTGATTTTGATGACAGGGATCATTTTGCACTCCAGTCATAGTGATCAGAAATAACTGTCATTGCAAGAGAAAATGCCATTTATTTATCTAACTTTCATTTTCTTGGCCAAGCATAAGACTTGGTGGCATTACCTGACCAGAAGCTCAACATGAGCCAGCAGTGTGCACTCCCAGCCCAGAAAGCCAGCAGTACCCTGGGCTGCATCAAAAGCAGCATGGCCAACAGGGCAAGGGAGGGGATTCTTCACCTCTATTCCACTGTCATGAGACTCCACCTGAAGGGCTGGGCCCAGCTCTTGGGTTCCCAACAGAAGAAGGATATGAACCTGCTGGAGCAGGTCCAGAGGAGGCCACTAAGATCATGAGAGAGCTGCAGCATCTCTCCTGTGGAAATGGGCTGAGCTGGGATTGCTGAGTCTGCAGAAGAGAAGGCTCTGAGATCTTTTAGGAGCCTTCCAGTACCTAAAGCATACCTAAAATAAAGCCAGAGAGGGACTTTCCATGGGGACATGTAGTGATAGGACAAAGGGTAATGGCTTTAAGCTAAGCAAGAGTAGGTTTGGATTAGATACTAGGAAGAAATACTTCACTATGAGGATGGTGAAGCACTGGTACAGGTTGCTCAGAGACGTTGTGGATGTGCCTGGAAGTGTTCAAGCCAGTCTGGTTAGGGCTTTGAGCATGACAATGCTCATGACAGAGGGGTTGGAACTGGACAACCTTTAAGTTTCCATTCTATGATTCTGTGATATTTGCAGGCAAACATTATAGACAGATATTATCCAGCACTGTTACTAAGGCAATGATTTTTCTGAATTACTACAATGTTTTTTCCAGCATCTGAATTCTGTTAAGTAAATGCTGATGCTGTTTGTGTTATTGATGAGTTTTTGGGGTCTTATCTACAGGTACTTGTTCCTTATGATTTATCTTACCCTTTTTTCAATCTCTTGTTCCTCTCATTTGTTGACAAGCTATGCTTGTTAAAGCACTATATCCTCAG